GTTTTTTGGTTTTTTTTTTGATGGGGGGACTTCGTTTTTAACTTCAAGATTTTTCAATTTCCCCCCTTTTTTTTTTCTTTCTATCTATTCCAGGACCCAAATACACATACACGCACACATACATACGCACAAAAAAGCTTTAACAAACAGATTTGAAAGACAGAAACAAAGAGAGAGGAATAGAGAGAGGAATGATTTTAAAAAGAGAGAAAGAAGAGACGAGGTAGCTACGTTGACAGGTTACCCCGACAGAAAAGCAACCACACTAGTAAGTGCTTGGGTCGATCAGTGGCGGTAAGCGTCCTGTAATAGTAGTAGTAGTTGCAATTCGATTCTGATAGGACTAGATTTCTCTTTTTCTTTCTTTTTTTTCTTCCCTTTTCTTTGATTGTTCATTCGTTTTTCTTTCGCTTTCTCTCTCCTTCCGTCTCGACGAAGTCGAATTTTGAGCACAAACTGACACGCCAGCCATTAGAATTAAGGAACATCCTGTTCCAGTGGTCGTGTCTCACTACTCTCTTTCCCCTACACGCCTTTTTTTATTTTATTTTATTTTCATCTTTTTGGGGTCTTGTTCTAGGGCTGAAGACCAGAATTGACCCGTGTTTGCACACGTTAAAAAAAAAAAAAACAAAAAAAAAAAAAAAAAAACGCATTTTATTTTCTATAACGTGGGTGAAAAACAATGTAGAAATGGATTTTTTTTACTGGCTAGCAAGCTATTCTGCTGACAGACCGTTTTGGTTTTAAATTCACTAGATAGCCCACAACTATAGCCTTGTGCCAAACGAAGAATATGAAATAGGTATCTTGGCAAAAAAAAAAAAAAAAAAAAGCAAGTTTGGCATGCAGTCTTGCAAACAAACCGTTAGTAATGAGTTCGACTCCAGCGCTCCACAAAAGTAGCCTTGTGTCAGATTGTTAAACTTAGTTGCATAATAATACAAGACGTCAGGTCACTGAGCAGTTAGTTTCATCCTTATCGGGTGCGGCCAAATTGTGGCCTTGTGTCAGACGAAGTTAAGTTTTTTTAAATTATAGTGTGCCTAATTATAAATTCTTAGAGTAACAAAAATATCGCAGACTTTTTTTCGATCTTCACTGAGCGCTCGATAATTATATCCTTATGCCAGACTACTGGTGCCCTGATATGGACCAAACTGTCTCCAAGTTTATTATGTTCGATTTTCACTAAGGAGCTCCCTAATTGTAGCCTTGTGCTAGACTTAGTGAATAGAGATCATAGAATGTGTTATATCCACATTTATTTGTTGTGTATAGACGCTGTTATACGTACATATATAGATATATGCATGTATGCAACCAGTGCATACACATACACACGCGCATGTGTAGTAAGAATTTTTTTTGAAAATATACGGAAATGCTCCATAAATGTTCCTTAAAAAAATAAAAGGTAAAACATAAAGTAAATGAGAGAGAGAAGAATGATAAACTAATGAATAAAAAATGGCAAAAGAATTATTTCTATTTTTTCTCGAAAGAGAAATCGAAATTTAGAACTTTGCAAGAAAGTAAACGAGAATGAAAAAAAATGAAAGAAAAATAAATAAAAGGAAAAAGAGGGAAAAATAAAGAAAACGAAAAAAAGGAAAAGAAAAAGAATAAAAAGAGGAAAAAGAAAAATAGAGAAAAAGGAAAAGAAGAAAGTAAAGAAAAAGAATAAAAAGAGGAAAAAGAAAAATAAAGAAAAAGGAAAAGAAGAAAGTAAAGAAAAAAGAATAAAATAGGAAAAAGAAAAATAGAGAAAAAGGAAAAGAAGAAAGTAAAGAAAAAAGAATAAAATAGGAAAAAGAAAAATAGAGAAAAAGGAAAAGAAGAAAGTAAAGGAAAAAGAATAAAAAGAGGAAAAAGATAAATAGAGAAAAAGAAGGAAAGAAAAGCGAATGGAAAAGAAAAACGGACAAAGAAAGAAAAGAAAAACAAGAGAAAAAGTGAAATAGAAAAAGAGAAAGGAAAGGAAAGGAAAACGAAAGGAAATATGAATAAAAACAGAAAAAAGAAAACGAGGGGAAAAGAATAAAAAGAGGTAAAATAAAAAACTGAGAAAAAGTAAAGTAAAGAAAAAATGGAAGAAAAAATATAAAGAGGAAAAAGAAAAAAAAAGAAAAACGAGAGGGAAAAGAATAAAAAAAAAAGAAAAGAAAAAATAGAGTAAAAGAAAAAAGACAATAAATGGAAAATGAACAGAAAAAAAAATCTCATTTGTCGGAAGAGACTTCAAAATTCTGAAAGTTTCCACAAAAGTTCCTAAAACAGGAAGAAAAAATAAAAAAGGAAAGAAAAAGAAAAAAGGTAATCAAGAAATAAAAAAAAGAGAAATAGTAACGCAAAAAGAAAAAAAAAACCATAAAACCACAATATTAGCTCAAAGCAAAGAAAACAAATTTAATATTTAATATTACTTCTCGAGATCAAATATTTTCTTTATCCCTGAAATGCTTTTTAGGTTTAAAAAGAAAGGGAAAAAATCACTTGTGAGATTTAGTTTTTAGACATAAATGCTGGATTATTTGGGGCATGTATAAAATAAAGAAACGTTTGAATTGCGAAGGAGGACTTGGTTTCATAAAACGAGTTCAGCAGATATACAAAAAATAGAAAGGCGCGTAAGACAAGGATGTATCTTCTCACCGGACTTATTCAACCTATACAGTGAGGTGATTCAGAGAGAATTAAAAGTCCTACCTCTTTCTTTTTATGTGCCATGTCCTTTCAGGCGTTCATGGCTCTCCACCTCCCTCTATCCCTTGCAGCTCTCAACAAGTTCCTTCCATCTGCTTCCTCCCCAACAAGTTCCTTTCCTCTGCCCCCCTCACAGACCACGTTCTGTCATCCACTTTATTAAGTCCGCCAGGTATGTCACGCGTTGTTTTCCCTTGTCTCACTTTCCCTCTATTCGACCCGTGAGTATCAGATTCTCCAGGTCCCCCTTCCTCATTATGTGTCCCAGAAACTTCAGCTGCCACTTCCTGATGTTAGGTATAAGCCTCCTCCTTGTTTGTAACCTCTCTAAGACCTCATCGTTGCTCACACGCTCGGTCCATGATATCCTTAGCGTCCTCCTGTAGAATCACATCTGTGTCGCCTCAAGTCTCTTCTTCATCTTTGAGGAAATCGTCTAACATTCGCTGCCGTAAAGAAGGACAGATGTCACGAAACAGTTCAGTATTTTTTTCTTTGATACCAAAGAAATCCTCCTGTCTCGCAATACTCTGCCCAACTTTTGGAAGTTCTACTAGGATTCACTATTGGTAGCCACAATCTTAACAACATAAGATATGCAGATGACATAGTGTTGATAGCAGATACAGAAAGGAAACTAGAACTCCTACAGAAGCTAGCGAAGGAAAGCAAGAAGAAAGTACTAAACATTAATTGCAAGAAGACAGAAAGCGTGGTCGTCAAAAAAAAAAACGGCGATCTAAACATTCAAATTACAAACTGGGGATACCAAAATCAAACAAGTACAATACAAATATTTGCGAAGTAATTTAACATGGGATGGAAACTGTGACACTGAAATCCGAAGGCGCTTTGAGATATCGAAAGGTGCTTTGCAAAAGCTAAGCAAAGTAATAAGAAACAGATAAATGTCATTAGAAACAAAGAAAAGAATACTGAACTGTTACGTGATATCTATCCTCCTATATGGCAATGAATGCTGGACAATCTCCTCAAAGATGAAGAAAAGACTTGAAGCATCAGAAATGTAATTCTACAGAAGGATGCTGAGAATGCCATGAACCGAACACGTAAACAACGACGAGGTTTGGGAGAAAATGGAAACAAAAAGGAAAATTACACTTAACATCCAGAAGAGGTAGTTGAAATTTCTGGGGTACGTAATGAGGAAGGGGGGCTTGGAAAATCTGATACTCACGAGACGGATTGAGGGAAAGAGGGACAGAGGAAAGCAGCGCGTAACATACTTTATGAGCTTGAGTAAATGTAGGACAGGGTTTGGAAGAAACAACAGAAAAACAAATCTTATAAAGAGCTACAAGGATCAGGAAGTTGTGGAACGCCATGATCGCCTACGCCCTGAAGATACACGGCACATAGAAGAAGATTAGGACAATCTAGAACTTACAGATTTTATTCATTTTACCCCAAGCAAAATGTTAAACCCACGAAGAAACAGGGTGTTATTGAGTATGGAAGAATCTGAAAAAAAAAAACATTATTAAGGAGAGAGAACAATAAAAGAACAGGAATTAAGAAAACAGAATATGACGATTGGCATTGCAATTGCGTTATGTTGGCGGTGATGATTCGGCCGCGTTGTGGTGGCGGTGATGAATCGACAGTGTTGAATCGGCGGTAATGAGTCCACAACATTGAGTTACTGTTGTTGAGTTGGCGTTGATGAGTCGATGATGTTGAGTTGGCGGTGATGAGTCAGTGACGTTGAGGTAGCAGTAATGAGTCGGCAGCTTTGAGTTGGCGGTGATGAGTCAGCAGTGATAAATCGGTGATTTTGAGTTGTTGGTAGTGAATCGGCGGTATTGAGTCGGCGGCGTTGTGTTGACGGTGATGAGACGGCGGTGTTGAGTCGGCGGCGTTGAGTTGGTGGTGGTGAGTCGGTAGCATTGAGTTGGCGATGATAAGTAGTCCTGCATCCAAAAAATGTACCTGAGCACTATCTAGTCTTAGAGAATTGAAAGCGACAGTCTCGGATCTTGGGGGGAACTGTCCCGCCGCAAGTCATTAATATTCACAGTTTGATGTACCATTTATATAAATGGATAAATTGTCGCTTTTTTTTATAATCGCACTAAAAGTCCTTGACCCCACGTGCCATACACTACCCTTACAAGATTCAGATGACATTAAAAATGGATTACTGCTACCATATCCAGGTTGGAACTTTCCATTCCTCTCTTTCTTGCCTCGGCAAAGATCAAAAGCGTTTTGCAGATGATTTTACGCCCTAAAACCCCTTTCCTGCTGACTAAATGTTGATAGCCTCTCGCTTCTCTATCGCTATTTCCATGGCAAATGTTCAACCGATCTACATTCCTTAGTTCCACCAGTACAGATCCTTACAGCTAAAACCCGCCACACCATGCACACATGTTCGAATAATTCTCATTCTCTTCAATTTTACATTCTTAAGTAGGAGGCTCTACTCAGATATCTTCATAGAACAGCCAGTTTCTGGAACAGACTCCTGAGATGATACTTTCCCGGTCACTACCATCTTAACCCTTTTAATTCTGGAGCCAATCGTTATATATCCTACATATACTCATAATCTATAATTCTTACGTCTATACTATAACCTCTTTCAGTAACCCTCTACCTTGAGTGGCTCCTTGCATTGGGTGAACGATAGCATGAATAAAGATACTCTAACGACACTTTACACTAGATTGCATGAGAGATCATGACTCTCCACAACTTTGCAACTTTCAAGATGTGGGCGATTATAGCACGTGACAAATTCACAGGTTTCGAAATGTGAGTGATCATGACTCTCCACAACTTCCAATTTTGTCCTTTTTCTGTTATCCATTCACTTAAACTTGTCAAGTAGTTTACTCTGCTTTTCTTGCCTTTACCATTATTTTCTCAAAACCTTCTTTCCTCGTTAGGCTTCCCAGAAATTTTAGATCTCACTTTCTGACGTTTAATGGCATTTTTTTAGATGGCATTGTCCTTAAAACTCCCATGTTACTCGTATGTTCTGCTCATGGTAATCTCAGCATTCGTTGGTAGAACTTTATTTGTGTCACTTCAAGCCTCTTCTTCATCCGCGAGGAAATTGTACAAAATTCACTCCCATATGTAAGTTTACATATTACATATTAGATATCAGTTAGACTTTTCTTTGCTTCGACAGGCATTTTGCGATCTCTTAATTCTTTGCTTAGTTTTTCAAAGGCATTTTTCACTGTTCCTATGCGCATAAGAATGTCTCTGCCACACTTTCCGTTGTCTCCTATTACACTACCTAGAAGGCTATATATCTGCATCTATTTCATTTTGACGTCCCTAATATGTAGCTCTGAAATCGGATTGTCCCTTTTGTTGACGACTATACATACAATCTTCTTAGCGGTAATGGTTAGCAATTTCTTCTTGCTTGTCTCAAGTAACATATGGGGAACTATCATTCAATATTGCTACCATATCAGGTTTGGTACTCCTGTTATATATTTAGAGATTCTTAATAAATTTGAAAGAAGAAACTGCATTGTTATTGATCCTGACCTGGCATCTCGGTTTCAGTCACTTTCCTACCGTCGTAAACTGTGCGCTTTCTATAAATACTTTCATCGTAATTATTCTAATAAACACTCCTCTATCTTACCGAGACTTTATGGATTTAAGCACAGTACTAGATTGGCAGATAGGTCTCATCATAGTTGAAATGGCTAGATGTAACCGTGAGTTCTATGCCAACAGTTTCTTCTATCGCACTTCTCGCTTGTGGAACTCTCTTCCGGCTTCTTGCTTCCCAGCCAACTTTGATCTTCAAAAATTTAAATGCAGGTCAGGGTTGATATTATTGCAAATAATTCTTTGGATTTTGTCAAGAATCTCTAGATATGTAACAGAAACACCGGATGAGGTGTAACAACGACATTGATTCCTGCAGTCGCTCTCTCACAGACGTGCCGTCGCCTCCCTCAGTCTTTTTTTTTACAAATACTTTCACGGTAACTGCTTCGATGAGCTGCTTTCGCTGGTTCCCAGACTTCGTGAATTTAAGCGTTCAACTCGGCTGGCATCTCGCTCTCACCCTTTCACTGTCGAAACTGTTAAATGTAGCCGTCTCTTCTACTCCAATAGCTTCATGTCTCGCACTTCTCGCCCGTGGAACTCCCCCCTCTTCCTGTTTCCCTGATAGCTATAATCTCCACCTATTCAAATGTAATGTCAATCGACATCTCCAGATGCCCTTCTCCTCATCCTTTCCTCTATCACTCCTATTTGCTCTCGCTCCAACTCTCTGTAACCCCTTGCGTGCTAGTGGCTTCCCGCCTTGCTTGGGGGTGAATAAAAACCAACAGACATTCTTGAGATGAAAATAATAAACTCCTACTTGGTAACAGCGTAGTCATTTCTTGTTTTATTCTATCTACTAATTGCCAGGAGGTACGGTGGAACAATGGATAGCGGCTCGGATACCAGTCGATTCCATTACATTCACTTACGTTCTAAAACCCTTGGGAAAGGTATGAATCCTCTTCTTCTCCCCCTCAGCTATGGGTAAATAGCAGAACAGACTGGGTTCTATAGCCTTAGATGACAATTGGTCTACCACAGAAAGAAATGGCGGGAAAAAATCTGTCTCGTCACTCAGCTATCGAAATATACATGATCGTCTAAGCGTGTATCATGCATGGCACATAACTGACTAAATTGCCATGTATGATTCCCCTAAATGTATCATCATCATCATCATCATCATCATCATCATCATCATCCCTGTGACCTGGTGTGACTGTAGGTTCACAGCTCAATTGAACACCTGACCAGTTTCCTTCATGTGTCTCGGTTGCGTGCCAAAGTCTGAGCCTCTGTGGGGAGGGGACCTTCCAGTCTACTCAATGACATTGTTATCTAATTATTTCCACTCTCAGTATTGTTTTCTTTTACCTAAGGTATTATCTTGTAGGATGTTAGCGGAATGATTAAACAGCAACAAAAATAAAATGAAAGTAATACTAGTAAAAATGAATAATAATAAAACACACTTTAGCTAAGAATGTTGAATTTGGTAGGTCGTTTTTGTTTAGTGGCTTATCAGCCTTTGGGGGTTATTTAATACGGAAATTGAAATGGTTTGTACAAAATCTTTTAGAGGTAATAGTGGTTTTAGAAGCAGGCACAGCGGAGTAATGGATTGCAGAATGGATTGAGGTAGCGGAGAGCCGAGTTCGAATTCAATTCGCGTTCATTACATTCACTTACATGGTAATACCCTTGGGAAAGGTATGAATACATTTTTTCTCTCCTCAATAGAAAATAGCAGGTGAGATTTCGGTGTCAACAGGTCTATGCGAAGGTGAAAACTGTATTCAAAATCCGAGAGTCTAATGAACAGACTGATACCATATTCCGTGGTCTTTGGCTGTCGGTCAAAGGGCCTGATGTATGGACCCACACCAAATTCCGTGGTCATTGGCTGTCAATAAAACTGTCTAATGTACGGACCCACACCATATTGTGTGGTCTTTGACTGTCGGTCAAACGGCCTTATACATTGACCTAGACCATATTCAGTGGTCTTTGGCTGTCGGTCAAACGGCCTTATACATTGACCTAGACCATATTCAGTGGTCATTGGCTGTCGGTCAAAGGGCCTAATGTACGGAATCACACCATATTCCGTGGTCTTTCTATCTCGGTCAAACGGCCTTATACATTGACCTACACCATATTCTGTGATCTTTGGCTGTCGGTCAAAGGGCCTAATGTACGGAATCACACCATATTCCGTGGTCTTTCTATCTCGGTCAAACGGCCTTATACATTGACCTACACCATATTCTGTGATCTTTGGCTGTCGGTCAAAGGGCCTAATGTACGGAATCACACCATATTCCGTGGTCTTTCTATCTCGGTCAAACGGCCTTATACATTGACCTACACCATATTCTGTGATCTTTGACTGTCGGTCAAAAGGCCTAATGTACGGAATCACACCATATTCCGTGGTCTTTCTATCTCGGTCAAACGGAAAGACTGAGAAGGCCAAAGCATGCAACAGTTTGATCTTTGATTTCAGGTTGATGTTCTTGTCTTTTTAGATGTTTGCTAGTTTTTCAACTGCCTCTTGAAATTATTTATTCGTTGACAGCTCCAGAATATAAATAACAAAGATTGAGAAGGTCAATGCATGCTACTTCGATTTCAGACAGATGTTCTTGTCGTTCAAGATGGTCTTTATTCTTGCAGCAACTGCCATAGTTTGCGCTGCTCTCGAAATTATTTCTATTCTGTTGTCTTCTTCGCCGATGACTGAGCCTAAATATATAAACAGTCACCACTTTAAGCAAATTTATTATAGAGAGTAACTAAGCCAAAAATCATATTAAAATCGGGTATCGGTGTAGATAGAATATATTTCAGTCATTGCCATTTCATACAATTTTGCGCACACCCATCCTATGACTAATATGGAACACATTGGGGTGATGATGATAAAGACCGGTAGAGGTCTTTGGGTTATCTCTGATAGTACTCAAGTATATACAGGGTACGATGGATAAATTGTCGTCTAAATGGCGCAAAAATGAAAATAACACTGACCTCGTTTTAACAGATATACAGGATGCGACGGATAAATTGTCGTCTGAATTACGCAAAAATGAAAATAAACACCGACCTCGTTTTAACAGATATACACGGTGCGATGGATAAATTGTCGTCTAAATGGCGCAAAAATGAAAATAACACTGACCTCGTTTTAACAGATATACAGGATGCGACGGATAAATTGTCGTCTGAATTACGCAAAAATGAAAATAAACACCGACCTCGTTTTAACAGATATATGGATAAATTGTCGGTGGCAAAAATGGAAATAACACTGACCTCGTTTTAACAGATCTGCGAAATAAATTGTCGTCTGAATTACGCAAAATGAAAATAAACACCGACCTCGTTTTAACAGATATACACGGTGCAATGGATAAATTGTCGTCTAAATGATACAAAAATGAAAATAACAGCTCATTTTAGCAGATACACAGAGTGCGATGGATAAATTGTCGTCTAAATGGCTCAAAAATGAAAATAACACTGACGTCTCATTTTAATAGATATATTTACCAACATTACACAAAATATAACTTGAAATACTAAAGAGTAAATTTATTCAATAAAATCGCCATTGGCTTCGACTAGAACCTCTAAACGATCCTGGAATCTCCTGCAACTCTTCTGGACAGTCTCCTTGTTTAAGTTGGTGAATGTTGACATAATCCATGCCTTCAGTTCATCTTTGGTGTTACAAAGAGTTTTGATGGTCTCTCGCTCAACTGCACCCCACACGTAATAATCAAGGGGGTTGCAGTTAGGGAGTTAGGTGGCCAGATGTAAGGGGGTGATGTGGTCGTAGAAACTGTCTGACAGCTATGACTGGGTTCTGCTTGTATGGCATATTGCAGACATAAGGACTTCCAGTAGCCACCCACTTGACCGAAGGCAGCACTACCTTCTTAAGACATTTGATGTCGGCGTCTGTGTTGAGTTTAAGGCCCTCATTAACAATTTCGAGAGTTCTTTTCTTATCAGAATGATCAGAGTGAGTTTTCCTAACTATCGCACCTTTGTAATCACCATTAAACTCATCCAACTCTTCCCGAATCCTCTGCGCTGTCCTCGGATTGACACCTAAACACTCTGAAATGTTTATACTGGAGATTCCAGTGCGAGTGGCAAGCGGTACAGCATACCATTTTTAAATTTCAGGCAGAGTGAATTGCGTCATGGTGCTCTTTTTCTCTCAGACGGTGTCCAACTGACCCTACTATACTGGGCAGTGGACAATTTACCCATCACACCTTGTATATATATATATATATATATATATATATATATATATACAAGTATATGATTGGTGTATACGCAATTGGCAGTTTTTAATTTTAATATCAAATTTTATCATATAATTGAATAATTATTGGTTAGAATAAATTCTTTTTTAATATTACCCCTATTTTAAAGATCTGAATAGCTATTATAACATGACTTCGTTGTCAAACTTTTTGAATTTTCCTATACTTGTATTTTGATTGGTCATTCTAGCTTTTGTAACAACATTTTCCCCTTGTGAAGGATCGTTAATTAATTTGAAACTTTTAAAACCATTTATTTTACATTCAACATCATCACTTGATAAGTCACCGGAGGTGCTGAAACAAAATGGCTATTTTTGTAGTGATTTTATAACATATTTACGTTATAATTTTAAATATATATATATATATATATATATATATATATATATATATATATATATATATATTATATTTTATATTTATGTACCTTTGTAGATACCATTAGAAGGATCCAATTCTACCAAATCTACTGCACTGTCTTCAAATTGACACCCATACACTCTGAAATGGCGCGAATGCCAAGCAGTACAGTATGCAGTTTCCAAATTTGGGGCGAAGTGAATTGTGTAATGGTGCTTTTTTCTCACAGATGGTGCCCAACTGACCCTACTATACTGTGCAGTCTACAAAGTCAAAAACAAACAACGAGCATGCGCGAAATAAAAAATATATGGTACGCTACAAAAACCAAAAAAGATCTATTCGGCTACGCATAGAAATATTTACAATAATTGAACCAGTAAAACCGAGAGCTATAGAAAAACATCAATATAAAAAAATTGTAATATGAGCTCTGGTAAAAATAAGTAATACTGAGTTATCAGGTTTATAAGTCCCCAAAATTTACTCACCTGAATTCTAGCCAGCTGAAGAGATCCTGTCTGTTAGTATAGTGTAAAAGAAGACAAAAGTAATCAGCGAAGATGTCCAAAGTGTCGTCATTGGACAGCATTTGGTGAATCTACGAATAAAATACTCAGTGTACGGAACAGGGTTTTCTTTTCTCGCCGTCAGCTTATCTGACCTTCCGTTCCTTTGTAGAAGATTTTCTTCATACTGATGCAGACGGGAATCGAAGCATAACTTTGGCTGCAGCTCTGCCACAAGGTGTTATATCCACTTTCATATTTTGGGCGAAAAAAAGTTCAGTTGCTCGAAAATATGTTTGGATGATAATAATTCTTCTTAAAGTTATGGACAATACCTTGACAGAAAAATTTTTGCACTATTTACATGAGGACTATTGTCCTTATCTTTGTTGTTATTATCACAACGTTTCGGCCGATGTGCCCTCCAGCCATCATCAGGTGTTTATCGACCGGGTGACCTATGACGCATTCTGAACTGAACTATTAACATGCGGACCACTGACCTCACCTTTGTTGTTGTTATCACAACGTTTCGGCCGTTATGTCCTCCGGTCATCATCAGGTGTATATCGACCGGGTGACCTATGATGCATTCTGAACTGAACTATTAACACGCGGACCATTAACCTCGCCTTTGTTGTTGTTATCACAACGTTTCGGTTGTTGTAGCCTCCGGGCTTCATCAGGTATATATCGATCCGGGTAGCCTATGATGAATTCTGAACTATTTACATGCGGACGAGTGTCCTCATCTTAATTGTTGTTACCGCAAGGTTTCGATCGTTGTGTCCTCCAGCCTTCATCAACTGTATATCGACCCGGTTGACTTAGGACGCATTCTGAACTGAACCCTTTATTTAATCAAGTGGTGGGTAGACTGTTTTCGTTCGAAATGTATACTAATGTACATCAATAAGCATTTAACACAAAATATTTATTTTTTCGACATTGTCTACTTCTGTGGTTGTGCTTCCTGGCCTTCCTCGTGTGTATATGTTATGGTGAAACACACCTATTCTATAGTTAATAGACTCTCCCACCTAATATAAGTAGGAGTAGTAAGAGAAACGAAGGTCAGTCGATGTCGGACGACCGGCTGAACGGTTGAACTCTCTGCCTTCGGCGGGGAGGAACCCGAACGAGGCTACGCCGAAGGGCGGAGTCTCGTTCGGGAGGTAAACCGACCCTGAACCCGTTTATACGGGTTCAAAGGGTATATTTTTAGCCGAGCCCACGGGCTCGGAGATCCCACGTTAAACCGGCCTTGCGCCACATGATACCCTCGTTGGGTGGTGACTAAATACTAGTCGATGTCGGACGACAGTAGTCGACAGTTAGTCGAATACGAAAGTAGTCAGCGACCACAACAAGATTACTCTGCGTAATACCTATTATATCAAGTTCCTAACGTTTTGTACGTCGAACCTAATTTAAGACCGATTTAGTACAAATACAAGCCTTCACTGCGAAATCACTCCACAACAGTACATAAATAAATCTGAGTAATCTGCGACGGATTCTGAACTGAACCCTTTATTTAATCTACGGGAAGACTGTTCTCGTTCCACTGTTCATGTCTAGGAATATTGTCTCTTTCGTATTTTTATTTACTGTTGCCCAGTTATTGCTCACCCGTTTATGTAAATACACACTGTACAAACCTGGGATTGAACTCACAGTCACTGTGTGGCAAGATATATAAAGTGGAAAGCCAGTCATGAAAACTTAAGCATTTTTTCCCGCCACTTTTTTTTTCTTTCGCTTTCTTTCAGTCCGTCTCTTTTTCATTATTCTTATGTCCACATTCCTCTCATTATTTTTCATGCGGCCTTTCTCTTTATCACTCCATTTTATTTCTTTCACCTTCTCTTCTTTTTTCTTTCTCTTTTTCTTTTAAAATCTCTCTACTTTACTTCTCTTTCTTTGTTTGTTTCTTTCTTTTCAATCTTTACTTTCACTCCTTTTTCTTTCTTTCTTTCTTTCTTTCTACATCCCCCTCTTTCTTACTTTCTTCCACCTTCTCTCCATTTTCTTTCTTTCAAAATCTCTGTACTTTCTCCTCTTTCCTTTTTATTTCTTTCATCCATTTATTCTTTCTTTCTTTCACAATCTAATTTTCTCTTCTTTTTCTTTTTTCTTTCTTTCTTTCTTTTTACCTTTCTGTCTTACTTTCTTTCTGCTTTCCTCCTCTTTCTGTTTTTTCAATCTCTACTTTTCTCCTCTTCTTTTCTACTTTCCTTCTCTTTCTTTCTTTCTTTCTTTCTTTTTTTCTTTCTTTCTTTCTTTCTTTCTTTCTTTCTTTCTTCATACCATGTTTCTATCTTTCATCTCCTTCATTCTATCTTTATCCACTCCCCGGACACCCATCTGTCAGTCTGTCCTCTTCTAACCCTCCGTAAATTCTCCTTGGTATCTTCATGTTACAAGACTTGGGTTGGGTCTCAAATATTTTTTTCTCCTCTTCCTCTTCTGACGTACTTCCCAACCAGACCGTGGATCACGTGTCACATTAGCAATTAGGTCAGATTTCCCCGACGCTCTTCATTGATTCATTCAAATTTCACTAAATAAACACAACTTCTCGTGATTTCGACCAGCCACCCAGTTTAAGCCACCCGACAACTCAAGTATCTATGTATTTGTGCGAAATGCCCACCACCCGAGGAAGAAAAAAGCCTCTTCATTGCATATAAACATAAATTTATTCGTTCTTTTTGTTTGTTTTTTTTAATAATAATGTTCATCTAATACAAGACCCAAGAGCCACTCAAGGTAGAGGGTTACTGTGTGAAGCTGTATTAACGTAAGTATGGACAAGTATTAGGAGTATAGAGTTGATGTAGACTTTAGAAGGAACAGGAAACCCAATCCTAAACAGGAAACAAGGTATAAACCTCTACACCTGTTCGAAAGACCGGGGAGGAGTGTAAACTGGGTTAAAGCCGAACCTATCTACTCCTGTTTTTTATTGATTCGTTTTCTACAGCTTATCAACCCTTTTTCGGGTTATTTAAAGCCAGAAAATATTTCTAAATTTTAAGAGTTTGTTTTTAAATAATAATGATTTAGTGATACAAGTTTTACTAATTAACCTATAGCTTGGGGGATAAGAGTTGGATTCATACCTTTCCCCAAGGGTATTTGCGCTTAAGTGAATATAACGAACTCATCTCTTCGATTTTGAGATTTAATTTCGAGTATTTGTACACCTCTGGTTGAAGTGGGTCTTTTAATTTCGATGGGGCCCCATTTAGAGATTGATGAATCTTTATATATATATATATATATATATATATATATATATATATATATATATATATATATATATATACATTAGATTTTTGTATCTTTCTACGTTTTGCATAATTTTGGCAATTTTATTGAATTTTTGCTGAATTGAACATAGACGTGTAATTAGTGCACAAACATTCATTTCTTTCATTATTTTTCTTATCGCCTTTCTCTTTATCTCTCCTTTTTATTTAATTCACCTTCTTTCTTTCTTTCTTTCTTTCTTTCTTTCTTTCTTTTAATAACTCTACTTTTCTCCTTTTTGTTTGTTTGTTTCTTTTTTCACAATCTCCCAAATTTAAGTAGTAGTAAGAGAAACGAGGGTCAGTCGATGTCGGACGACCGGCTGAACGGTTGAACTCTCTGCCTTCGGGCGGGGAGGAACCCGAAGGAGGCTACGCCGAGAGGTGGAGTCTCGTTCGGGGAGGTAGACCGACCCTGAGCCCGTTTATACGGGTTCAATGGGCATATTTTTGGGGCCGAGCCCACGGGCTCGGAGAATCCACAATAAATAATCGACCTTGTGTCACATGATGCCCCAGTTTGTGACTGAATATCCAGTCGATGTCGGACGACCAGCTGAACAGTTGAACTCTCTCTGCCTTCGGGCGGGGAGGAACCCGAATAAGGCTACGCCGAAGGGCGGAGTCTCGTTCGGGGAGGGAAACCGACACTGAGCCCGTTTATACGGGTTCAAAGGGTATATTTTTGGCCAAGGCCACGGGCTTGGAGATCCCACGTTAAACCGGAATTGTGCCACATGATACCCTCGTGGAGGGGGTGGTGACTAAATACTAGTCGATGTCGGACGACAGTCGATGTCGGACGACAGTCGATGTCGGATGACAGTCGAACTCTCTGCCTTCGGGCAGAGAGGAACCCAGACGAGGATATGCCGAAGGGCAGAGTTTCGTCCGGGGAGGTCGACAGACCCGATCCCGTTTATGCGGGGTCTACGGGGATTTTTTGGCCGAGCCTACGGGCATCGTAAACCCCACAGTAAATTCGGCCTTGTGCCACATGTGACTGCGTGGGGCAGTTACTAAATAGCGTCGATGTCGGACGACAGTAGTCGACAGTTAGTCGAATACGAAAGTAGTCAGCAACCACAACAAGATTACTCTGCGTAATACCTATTATATCAAGTTCCTAACGTTTTGTACGTCGAACCTATTTTAGGACCGATTTAGTACAAATACAAGCCTCCACTGCAAAATAACTCCACAACACTTTCTTTCTTTCTTTCTTTCTTTCTTTCTTTCAAAATCTCACTAATTTTCTCAATTGTGTACTATTGTCATATCTGGCAGGGAGCTGCTCAGTTTCCATTTTTTAGTCTCGATAGAGCCCAAAAGTATCTAAGTGTCCTCGTCGGTAACAAATTATTTTCCACTGTTCAACCTCTCCCTCTCATAGGCGAGATGTGGCAAGCCTCTCTCTGCTCTATCTCTTCTTCAAGTGTTCGGGCGAATTGCTCTACTTGGTCCCACCAGTTTTAACCTTCACGGCTAGGACCCGCTATTCCACTCACATCGTATCAAATCACCCACGTTCCCTCCGTATTCCTTTGGTATGAAGTAAGTTCTATACAAACAGTTTCTTCCCGCGAACCAATGTTCTGTGGAACCGACTCCGACGAGGATGTTTCCCCGATCACTACAATCTTAATCTGTTCAAGTTTAGGGTTAACCATTATTTTCTCACCCTGTCCGTATAAACTGCCTCTTAATGTAACCCTCTACCTCGAGTGACCTTCAAGCCTTGTACTAGGTGAAACTCGTTGTAAAGAATATGCACCTGAATGTTGGCAAAAAGGATTTATTTTACATTAAAAATATTTTTCGACATAACCACTTCATTGTCAATGCACTTAATTCAGTGGTGAATATCTAGGTACATCAATGATGCAACTTAATGCTGGAAAAAAAGTATTTATTTTACATAACACATATCATTTTCAACATAATTCCTTGTCTATGCATTTAATCCAGTGTGGAATATCTAAGTATATCTATACATATTCAGACTAAAACTGAAAACAGCATTTATTTTACATAATAAATAACCATTTTAACTTAATCCCCTTCCTTGTCAATGCACTTAATTTAATGGTGAATATCTAGGTGCATCAATAAATATGCAACTGAATGATAAAAAAAGGATTTATTTTAAACAACAAGTGTTTTTAAACACAATCTCCTTCCTTGTCAATGCACTTAACTCATTAATTGCCACTGTCCTATTTTGGAAACGTTGCGTATTAATTACCTGCCTTTAATTATAAAGTATCCACGGGACAAACCTGTGCACACCCCTTTCCCGACTGGCGGACAGACATTTCTTTCCTTATCACGAGAGATACCGGCGCCACATAGTTGCCTCTGGTAAAATACGGTAACATTCAAAGAAGAGACGTCTTCTTTCCTTTGTCAACATTTACCCTTGCTTATTCTTCTAAGTGTATGTTAACTTCCTTGGCAACATGGACAACTTTGTTTTTAATACTTTCTGTCTCATATTTGCATATAAATGTGCTATTACATCCATAACATGGTGTAATATAAACATCTGTTCTTTAATCTCAGGAAATAGCGGATATGTGTTAAATTCATTTTGGGTATTACCAAGGTCAAATGGAAAATGAACAGGAATAGTAAGAGTGTGTTGCACCAATCTTCCAAGTGCTGAAGATATTCTTGCTTCGAAAAGCAGCACTCAAAATCCAGACAAGTTTCTGGGCCCGAACCTCTAGCACTGGTGAGAAACAAGCAAATACCTCTACTATAAGGTAGGCTGAATTATTATAGATATCTGAAGAAGCTCAAAGAACGAACTTATTGAAAAAATCGCTAAAGCGAAAATGATTCATCGCAAAAAGATTGAAGGTATCATTCATATTGATTGTAAACCTGAAGAGGGCTTTAGAATTGATTGATTGAAACGTCGTTGTAAAAATGAAAGCATAAAATAAAGTGAGCATTAATCTGAACAACTCTTGGAATGATAATGATTCATTTCAAAAGGATAGAAGGTGCTAACCATATTGATCGTACACATGAAGAAGACCATCGAATAGACTGATACATCGAAACGTTTCTCTAATAAGAAAAGCACCACGGAGAATCAAAACAGTCGAAAAACATCTTAGGGGGGTAATGACATAATAAAAGAATAGAAAAATATACCCTATATGGATTTTGCATCTACGTTAGCTTGTAGAATGGATTAGTTAAAACATGGTAAAAACAAAATAATTAGAAAAAAAGAAAAAGAATGCGATGATTAATTTAGCCAACTCTTGGAATGAAAATGGCTCATCAGAAAATGGTCTAAAACAGTGGTACCCACACGATTTTGGACCATGCTCCACTTTGGTATTTCAAATTTTTTGGTGTTCCCGCCTGTAATATTTAATTCTTCACGTGAAGAAAGCAAACTGAATGCTCACACGTGCTGATTGGCCGACAAAACATGGCTCTTCCAGCGACATTCATCACGCCCTCTCCTTACGCTCTGATTGGTCGACAAAACATGAGCTTTTCCAGCGACATGCATCGCGTCTTCTTCTTATGCTCTGATTGGCCGACTAAACATGGGCTTTTTCAGTGACATTGATCACGCCCTCTCCTTACGCTCTGATTGGTCGACAAAACATGAACTCTTCCAGCGACATACATCACATTCTCTCCTTTGTTGGCCGAGACATATGAGCGTGGAGAGACGGGAAATACCCTGTATGCCAAGTACATATGTATGTACATACATACAAAATATTTTTATGTATGCATACTCTATATGCATCGTATGTATTAACAGGTATTAACATTAACTCATTCACTCATTCTCGCTAGAAACAATTCAGTTAATAACTCATTTTCAAATTGCTCCCTTATGGATAGGGGCTCGGATTGAGGAATCGGAGAACCGAGTTCGAATTCTAGTCGAATCCATTACATTCACTTACGTCCTAATACCCTTAGGAAACGTATGAATCCTCTTCTTCACCCTCCTGCTATGGGTAAATAGCAGGGCAGACCAGGTTTTATAGACTTGGATGGCAACTGGTCTACCGCAGAAAGAAATGGAAACCTACTGCTGGAAAAAAATTTGCCTCGTCAATCATATATTGAAAGATACATGATCCCCTAAGCGTGTATCATGCATGGCACATAACTGACTGATTTTGTTGCTATAGTAAGCCGAAGTGTGCACGTCCTACGCATGCTCCACCAGAATATTACCATGTCCCATCAGTGTGGCATGCGCCCCACATGGGGAATCATTGGTCTAAAGTATCATCCATATTGACTGTGCAACTGAAGAAGGCCTTAGATTGCACCAGATTCAAAAAGGGAGACAACGGTCCGGTTTACCCCAGATTCAGAAAGGGAGACATCAGTCCGGTTTACACCAGATTCAAAAAAGTAGACATGTGTCTGGTTTACACTAGAGTAAATAAAAAGATACACATCGGTTCAGTTAACCGAGAATAAAAAAAGATAGCTCTCACTCCAGTTTATACGAAAATAAAAAGGGTAGGTTTAGTTTGGTTTGGTTTGTTTTGTTTTACGGCATATCAACCTCAATGGGTTATTTAATGCCGGCAAGTTTTTAATTGCTGATAATATTTTTTTTTTCAAAAATGTAGTGCTAGTAATATATTTTTCAAAAATGTATAGCTGGTAATATTTAAAAAAAAAATGTATAGCTGGTAATATATTTAAAAAAATGTATAGCTGGTAATATTTTTTTTTTTAAATGTATAGCTGGGAATATTTTTTAAAAATGTATAGCTGGGAATATTTTTTAAAAATGTATAGCTGGTAATATTTTTTAAAAATGTATAGCTGGGAATATTTTTTTTAAAAAAAATGTATTGCTGGTAATATTTTTTTAAAAATTTATTGCTGGTAATATTTTAAAAAAATGTATTGCTGGTAATATTTAAAAAAAAATGTATTGCTGGTAATATTTTTAAAAAATGTATTGCTTGTAATATTTAAAAAAAATGTATTGCTGGTAATAATGTAGTGCTGGTAATAATTTTTGCCTCAAAGGATTTATTGCTGCGAATAATTTTTACATGGTATTTCTGGTATTAAAACCTATTTTTACACTTTCATAGTGTTTTGACCCCAGTTTGGGGGTTAACTATATGCCCATAGCTGGGTCCCCGAAAGATGCTACCACCCCGGGTCAGGGTAGACCTGGGAACACCAGCAATTAAGAAGTACTTCCACGC